TGATTGTCCATCTTTCACCTGGCAAAGTGGTCTCTTAGGGGGAACAAATTAAACATTAATATGTACTTCCCCCTTTGGAGGAGAACCCTGGGCAAATTTCCAGTGCTGTCATGGAATGTTCCTTGGAAAGGAGCAAGGAATACTGTTTGAATCACAGAGCACAGAGCAAAAGACAGTGGTAGGTTTCAGACACACCTATGTTCGTACCACGCATTGCAACTCACTATATGTGTAACACTGGGCAGATGACTTAACTGAGCCTCCACTTCTTATCAGTGACATGGATATCTGGACAAATATCTTGTAAGGTATTAAATAAGAGAAAATATGCAACAGTGCCTGGCACAGAATTGGGGCTCAATAAATGTCAGTCGCTTTCCCTCTTCTTTTACAGGAAGTTTCTATTCCTTCCTCCTCCCCTCAAATTTCAATTGTCACCTTTAAGGATTCAGGAAGGCTCTTTCTCAGGTATGCCTCCAACATCTGAAGCATCTGGACACCTTGCAATGGGAACATCACGGGAGATGCCTTAGCCTAGACAAACAAACAAGAAACAAACAGGAATGAGAAGAGCTGAAGAAATTCAGAAACAAAAGAAGCAAGTTCTCTGCTAAAGCCCAGGTCCCCCCTCAGGGTCCCTCTATTGGTGTCACCTTCACTAGGTCCTCACCAACTCCAAGAAAGGACAAGAACGTCTGAAAGTGCAGGGGGCACTTTTGGAATTTTGTAGTTTGCCTTCTTACACTTCAAGGAATTCTAGGTATCACGTTCATGTTAGATTAACAAGCACATTTTTAGAATATATAATGTCTTCTGAAGTTTAGTTGCTATCAGTGATTTTCCTGACTCCACCAGTAATAACCTGTATAACCTTGGGAAAGTTACTCTGTGCTGTGGTTTTCTCAAAGGTGGATGGGACAACAGCACTAACTTCCAGATTTTGTGTGTGTGAATTAAATGCATTAATATATTAAATAAGTTAGTACGTGCTTAGAAGAGTGTGTTTCATATAGTAAGCACTGAGCATGTTATTTTATCACTACTACCAGTCTTTCTCCTCTCTCTGCTCTTCCCTGTAGTTATTTTTCTTCTTTTCCTCTTTTCCCCCTCCTCCTCCTCTACACTTGCATTGAAGTGCTATACATAGCATGATATTTTGATGCAGCTTTTTTAATGGAGGGCATTTGACATGGTCTAAAATATAAACAACTATCCTTTTTTTTTTAGTTGTCAAATCCTAGTGGAAGCCAGTGCTCTCATCCTGTCACTGAGCCTCACCCTATTTTTGAGTCTTACTCCATGTCTGAGCCTCACTCTTCAATCTGTGATATGTTTTGTACAAATTACTATGTAGTATAAAAATAGCATTTTTTACATATTTGACTCACTGTATCAAACTGAGATTAGCAAAACTTTCCATGAAACACCAACAGCATGAAAAGAGGGGAGAAAAGAGGCTGTGCCAGTGTTTCATTTTGGAACCATGATCTTTGGAGAGTACAAAGTTACTTCTAAGTGAGAGAACATTGTGTTGAAATCACCCAGCCTGTGGTGCCACACTTCAGGCCAGAAGAGGGCAACTCTGTGATTTTAGAACAGCAGGGAGGAGACCACTGCTCCTGGCCAAGATTGGGTAACAGGGTTTCTATTTACCTTGTTTAGACAAGAGGCAGTGCAAAACTGTGACCCCCAAAAAAGGAAAGC